TGGGTTTCTCGAGTGCACCCGCTCGGGAGGGAGAGGGGGGAGGGGGGACGAGCAGGAGGACACCGAACCATTTTTTCTTCGCCGCCAGTTTGTGAACAACTACGTGCACGGCCGGCACCGCCAGCGGAACAGGGAGAAGACACTGAGGGAGGAAAAGGAGGCGGACGAAAAGGAAGGGAGGGAGGGGCGGAAGAGGGGCAACAGCAAGACCAGGGGTGGGGAGGAAACAAACGCGGAGAGGGACAGGAGGAGCAAGAGGAAGAGGAGGAGAAAGAGGAGTCCGTAGGCACTTTGGCTCACCATTCAGCATGTATCAGGATCACTTGCTCCGCGACATGTTCTGGCAAATCTTTTCGGCGTGTGTGTGCGCCTAGTCCCAGGGCGTCTGGGGGGAGGCCCAGGGGGATCCAAGAGGGCCCTATGAGGGCCCGAAGAGCTGCGTGCAATTACACACCTCACTTGGGGCAATCTTGGGCCCCTCCTGGGGCTCTCTTGGGGCCGTCTTTGGACGAGGACGAGGACGAGGAAAAGAAGTGGCACGAGGACGAGGGAAGGGAATGCGGCGGGAGGTAGCAGGGGATCCCTGTTGGGGCAACATGGGGCCTTCCAACCTGAGAGAACCGTAGAGAACCTACGATGTCCCTGCGATGCCAGGCGCAGCGCCGTCGGGGTGATGGCGCACAGCCAGAACAGCCTCTCACTCCCACGAGTCCGCGGCCAAAGAACATGTGTTAATCTTGAGGGAAGCCCTGAGCTCCGTCTGTGTCCGCTGGCCCCCCCAGACCCCCACAGGACACCACAACCCCGCACCGAGTATCTGATACGGGTAGGGGATGGCCACAACACGCCGTAAGGGCCGACTGGTTTAATCTGGTGCTACGACGATGGGGGCACACGCTTACAGAGACTGACCGTTCGGGTGGCCCTAGACACTCGAGGGGCCCGGGGGTCTTCTGGGGGCTTTCTTCGGGCTTCTTCTTGGGACGCTCCCTGGCAGTTTCTGAGGGCTCCAAGAAGAGGCCCCAAGAGGGCACCAACAATCCCAGAATAATCTCAGGCGCTGAAAACTACAAGCCTGGGACTTGTGTGAGATTTTCGGGGCCCTCCTGGGCCCTCGAGGAATCTTGGAGCCTTCGTGGCGCCGAGATGGCCCAAAAGAGCTCCAACAAGGGCCCAAGAGGGCCCAAAGACAGACCGAAAAGCACCCAAGAGCGCCCCAAGAGCAACCCAAAAGATACCCAATAAGCAATTTTGCGGTCTCGGGAAGGAGGGTAAAAAGGACAGCCACGGGGCCAAACATTGGCCCGAAACACCCACGCCCATAACCACAAGAGGACACCAAGACCACCCAACAGAGCTCCGGGAGGGCCCCCATTGTCCCCAAGCGAAACCCACAAAAACCCGAAAATGTCACCAATAGAGCCCCAAATGGTCACTCATCCACGAGGCTCTCACAACACAAAAGCCTCGAATCCCTCATCATCGTGATCGTCCTCCTCTCCCTCCTGCTCCGCTGTACCTTCCCTCCTGCATCCTCCTCCCTCCTCCTCCTACTCCTCCTCTTGTCTCTTTCGCCTTTGTTGCCGCCCTCCCTCGGTATTCATCGTCGTCCTTGCTCCCCACGCGGGCCCGAGAAATGGCCGCAACAGGCCCTTCAAAGCAGCCCCCCATCGCTACCATATCTTGATTCCACCCTCATTGCCCCCTTCTGTGTTCACTAGATGTGTATATTCCTCATACCCCCCTGCAACTATCATCAGCATCTTGGTTTAGCTTGGGTGGTGGGGGCTCGATACGCGTCAGTATTGCGAGGGGCATGGGTGGCGGTATCGCGCCAACGATACCTGTAAGCTGCAGCGGCCAGGCATGATATAAGTAAAGTATGGTGGTGGCGGGACATGATCGATGATGGCGACAATTTGGATTGGACATAACGGCGGTGATTGCGCCGCTCCCGCACTGGCATTCGGGCGACCTCAACGCGATCATCAACGGAATGCAACAACCGCACCAACAATGCCACAACCATGTTGGCCCGAACACCCGCCCGCGCAGGAACCGTGACCATTTTAGCTTAAGTCTCCCCGTCAAAACCAACGCGCGTGGCACACTGCATGTCAAACGCGCGTTCGTTTTTCATTTGGCACACTTGCGCGCGCGCGCTGGTGCAAGTCTGCACGCGCCCCTCCCTAAACCACTCACGCACGTCATACCTGCTCTGTTTTTCCCAACCAACCTGTGTTGTTGGGTCCTCGTTTTGAAGAGACGGTCCCCGCGTTCCTCCTCCTCCTCCTCTCCTCTCCTCCTCCCCCTCCTCCCTCCTCCTCCCCCTCTTCCTGCGTTTCACCCACCCAGTACAGCGCTTCGTGGCCCCATAGGGAGCTCCACCGAAGGCCCCAGTGCCACCGTCCACATGCGTCCCCCCCCCACTCAGTGCAGCGCTTCGTGGCCCCAGAGGGAGCTCCACCGTTGGCCCCAGTGCCACCGTCCACATGCGTCCCCCCCCACTCAGTACAGCGCTTCGTGGCCCCATAGGGAGCTCCACTGAAGGCCCCAGTGCCACCGTCCACATGCGTCCCCCCCACTCAGTACAGCGCTTCGTGGCCACATAGGGAGCTCCTCCGAAGGCCCCGGTCCAGCCGTCCACATGCGTCCACCCCCACTCAGTACAGCGTTTCGTGGCCCCATAGGGAGCTCCACCGAAGGCCCCAGTGCCACCGTCCACATGCGTCCCCCCCACTCAGTACAGCGTTTCGTGGCCCCAGAGGGAGCTCCACCGAAGGCCCCAGCGCCACCGTCCACATGCGTCCCCCCACTCAGTACAGCGCTTCGTGGCCCCATAGGGAGCCCCACCCCCCACTCAGTACAGCGCTTCGTGGCCACATAGGGAGCTCCTCCGAAGGCCCCAGTGCCACCGTCCACATGCGTCCCCCCCACTCAGTACAGCGCTTCGTGGCCCCATAGGGAGCCCCACCGAAGGTCACAGTGTTACTGTCCACATGCGTCCCCCCCCACTCAGTACAGCGCTTCGTGGCCACATAGGGAGCTCCACCGAAGCCCCCAGTGGGACCGGTGCTCAGTCGTTGCGGTGCACTATCCAACCCCGACGAGCGTCGATGAAATGTTCGGAATGAGGCAGAGGCAGAAAGATGCCTGCGTTGCCAAGGACTCCAAGTCGCGTGGCAAGTGCCGCTCGTATGCTGAGCAATCCCCCCGAGCGTATTAACGCGCGTTCCACAGTAGGCATGGTCCCTCCCGTGGAGAGGGAACCTGGGGGCCCTGCTGACATCCTAAGGAACCCGACCGCCACTCTTTGTTCCCTCCACCTCTTCTCTTACAAAAAGCGAACCGAGGACGTCCAATACTTCGTTGGTGTGTTCCGTGAACGCACGCGGTTGAACATTCGATTGCTTTCTATAAATGTGGCCAACGACAATGCGAATGGCGAGTTAACTTGTTGGTCATCATTTGGTTCCCTTTTATCGGTCCTCTGGTCCGGGGAAGCCCTCAGGGTTATAGGAGGGCCCCCGTGTGAGACATTGAGTGCAGCGTGACGGCTGCACTAAACCAGGTTCTAGCTGCGTTCCTTGAATTGTTCGCGGTGCAGCTCAAAGTTTGGGCTACCGAGGTGCACGCCCAAGGAGAGGAGGCAACTGCTCCGTGGATCCCGACTGTTGCAGATTATGCTCGAAGCCGCGTGCGCCTGTATTGATCACGGTAAATCTTTCGTTATGGAACACCCGCGAACACATGATCTCACACACATACCTCCAGCATTGTGGGAAATGCGTCAGGCAGGTCTGCTCGTAGATGTAACTCTGATCAGCGCAGGTGTGGCACGAAATCCCGTAAGCTGACCACATGTGCAGAAAGTGATGCCACTCTTGTCTCTGACTGCATTCGCATGTTACCTAATAGCGGAAGGTGCCACCACTAGTCGCATAATACCGTTTCGCAGGGAGCTCGAAATAGTGGAAGGTGTCGGGCATCTTCCGCTAAGCAGTATCCAGCAGGGATGTGCAGAATTATGACGAATCCAATGGCGACGTATGTGTGCCGACTACAGCTTGACAGTGTTGCAAGTTCCCCTGAACTCTCGGAGTCCATGGTCTTGTTCTGGGTGCGTTGCGACACTTGAACAGCATCAGTGGGACAAATTGGTCCCTTCTGCTACGAGGTCAGCGGACGCTGAGGGAGGTGGCGGAAGTGGTGGAACCTCGCGAGGTCTTGTGCGCCACCTTTCATGGGCCAAAACGGCCCCCGTTGCATTTCATCCTCCATCAGTGCGACCCTGCGTCCCCATCGGTGGTCAATACTAATAGTAATAGGAGGAGGAAGAGGAGGAGGTAGGAGGAGGAGGAAGAGGAGGAGGAGGAGGAGGAGGAGGAGGAGGAGGAGGAGGTCAGAATGACGTGGGCGATGAGGAGAGAACGAAGAGGCGGGAGAAGAGGACGAGGAGAAAGAAAAAGAGGAGGAGGAAGAGGAGGAGGAGATACGCGGCCGGACCCAGCGGAGCCAGGGCGCTCACGTCACGACAGGAAAGCCGCCCCCTGCCCCACCGAGCCCTCGCCGCCGACGCTCAGGAACGCTCGGAACCCGATGAACCTGGCCGCGCCCCTGGACGCCCTGCAGGAGCGCACCCCCCGCTCCTGGTCCTCGCTCGGGTGGGGGGGCGTAAGAATGACGGAGGCTGGACCAGGTCGGGGTGCGCGAATAATGGCCTCAGGCGCGTGCGCGGCCGGGGGGGAACCAAGGGCCGTTAAAACCGCGTATGTCATAGCCCCGGCCGTTCTATCCCCCCCGTCCTCACCCGCGCCCGGCAGTCGTGGGACCAGCGGAAAATCGCTTCAGACGGCCCCTGGGAGAAAACGTAGACATCCAGCTGTGTGCGCTCCCTACACCTCCCCCCTACTGCAAACCCCCGACCCGTTGGCGGCGCACATAGGACGGGCAAGAAGGCAGGGAGCAGTCTTCCCCAGAGCCCCCGACGTCCGTATTTCTTTCGCAGCGCGGACCCAGGAGTGGACCCCACCCCCAAGCGTCGGCATGTCATCCCAAGACGTTTCTTGACGGCCCTAGGGCCCAACATTAGCCCCTGGACGCCGAAAATTACCAAAAACTGTCCGTCATGATTTTTCCACGGCGCGGGGGCCCCTAGCTGTGTCCTGGGGCGCGTTGTGACTCGAATGTCGTGGGAAGCCGTGGCCACAAAGAGCCTCCTGGAGGCCCCGAGAGGATGAGAAAAGCACCCGCAAACTCAGACCCTGGAAATTCGACTGCCGATCCCGAGAAGGCTTCTCAGAGGGCGGGGTGACATCGAGGCCCGCGGCGCTCTTGAGGCCCCCCCCTTGCGCAACCCCATTTCAGGCGCGCCGCGGGTCCTCGACGCGCTTCCACTGCGCGAAGATGGGGCCCGCCGTGTACTCGTCGAGGCCCATGTCGCCACCCTGGACCCCCCAGGCAGTGGCCGATGGTGCCATGAGCAGCTTGTCTGTAAGGGTTCTGTGGGATTCTTCCAACGTCAGGCGAGGGAGCCTGGGCCCCCCGACACTGGTCACCAGTGGCCCGTCGTGGCCCCCCATGGTGGCTGCGTAAAGCTGCTCAGGTCAGGTCCTCTGTCACAGGCGTGCCATTCGTTCTTAGGCGGGTGCGAAGACACTAGTTGTCGAGTCCGAGACTTTGCTGTCCGAGCCCGTGCCAATGCGTCCAGTGCCCCAGCGACATCTTTGCTCACAGCTCGGCACTGGAGTCTGGGACCACCGATCATATAGAATCGGAAAAAAGCATCGAGTCTGGCACATCCAGGTCGGATCGGATCGAGCGAGGGATCCAATCTCCTGGCGGTCCCTTGTGAGGCATCGGAAGACTCGGAAGGTCCCCCTGGAGGCATCTGTAGGTCTCGAGAGGCTGAAGAATTACGAAAAGGCTTGATCCTCGACCCTCGATTGCGACGCTCGATCCTCTAACCAGATCGATCGAATCGCAAGGGGGCCCTGGAGATCCCGACTCGCCCCCGTGGGTTAATTGTCCGTCCCGTCGGGACGGGCACCTGGATGCCAAAGACATTGACGACCCCTGGGGCTCCTTCTGGCCAGAATGTCGAGGGAAATGCAGCCGTGGTGACGAGCGCGCTCCAAGAGACCAGAATATGGGAACGATCTCTAATATCCTCGCCTCCTCTCTCCAGACATACGATGGGCTGTTTTTTTCGATCCGCGCGCCTCAAACATCTCAACACCTTCCCATTGGGGCAGCTGTTGGTCACGGAAATTGTTGTTCCATGCATCTTGTGGAGTTGGGTCCTCGATTTGGATACGCAGCGCCCCGCGTCACTCCTCACCTCCCGCCCGCGCCCCCCCTCCTCCCTCCTCCTCATCCCTACCTCTGCTCTCCACATGCGCAGTTCGGCATACACCTCACTCGCTTCGTGACACCATGGGGAGCTCCACCGAAGGCCCAAATGGCAACGCCACCGCATTTGGGCACACCCCTCACACGACTCGTAGGCAACGCCCGTATGGCGGCGACGCCCTACTTTAGCACACCCCTCACGTGTTTCGAAGCCCCGCTCCAATGACGACCCAAGTGGCAGCGCCAGCCTGGTGGCACCCCGCTCATTTCGATCACTCCTCACACGTTTCGTGGCCTCACATGGAAATCCCCATTTGTTCCTACCCGCCCTGCGGCATTCACACCTGCGTATGGTTGGGCCTGTCGCCCGTATGATAACTTCATGGTGGCGGGGCCAGAAAGCAGCCCCCGATGGTCGAAACAGAGGACCAACAAACAGGATTGGCACAGTCAACATGAAGTCCAAGTCCCTTCACATCTGACACGACATAAACCGATCGGTCGGGTCAAAACAGGCCCTGTCTGAGCCTTTTTTTCTCCAGCAGGGAACCCGCCCTCGCAAGTCCGAACAAAAACGAAAGACTGTACAACGCCTTGCCTCCACTCTCCTCCCGTCGGCGGCAAACCGTACGGACCCGCCGAAACCGAAGACGGGCCCTGCCAGAGCCTTCGACCTGGCGTAGCTGCCCAGCGGGGACCGCGCGATGACGGAACGGATCGATCGGTCGAGCCGCAACGGATCGGCTATACGAATATGGATCGAAGCGGAGCTGTGGCGTAAGCCAATGATCAACAAGATGATAATGGAGAACCCAGAGCTCCAGGAGGTCCCTAGAACGTAGCTAGATCCCGAACGATGGAAACTGGACTACGCCGTGAAATTCGCCAAGAAGGAGAGCATCATGATTTTGTAGGGGAGGGGAGGGGTATCAGCTCTACGACATAAATGTCGCTCCTCTCAAAATACTGGTTTACGACATGTGCATCTCGGGGATAATCTGTCGCTCGTTTTGGCTTGTGCGAAGGGGCGTTCGGCTTCCTTCGGTGTCCTTCTGTGCATTCGTAAGGTACTTGCACCATGTATCGCGGGAGATGTGGCACTGCCACACCGTTGGCATCCGTCTGAGCTCAATACAGCGGATGAGGGCTCCCGGCTCTGGCGAGGCGACGAGGCGCCGCTGGCCTCCTCCCCCTGCACGTGTTTCGTCCAAGGCCCCGCCCCAGTCGACGCGCTCAGACCTGCTCTCGAGCGAGCTCGTGCAGGAGGCGAAGGACATGGCCATGCGCCTCAGCTATCCGCCTCCCAGCTTCCTCAACATGACCGCGGTGAAGGCAGTGGCCTGGAAGAGGTGCCTCGCAACGCTGTGGCGCCTGCTCCAGCGCCTGACGGGCGCCGGGACGTCCTCCGACTCGCCGACCGAAATGGATGCGAGCATGGCGGACCTGGTCGAGGCCAGTTTCCTCGCCGGAACCGCGCATGGCGAGGAGCAGGTGACCTGCGCCGCTTTCTTGGCCCTCTACCCGCAGCAGATGAGGGGAGACCAGGCGCTGCCTCGCACGGTGCAGGCGATCAAAGTATGGCTCCGCCTCAGCCCTGCGACCACGCGGGCTCCTGCGCCTTGGATGGCGATGGCGGCGGGCGCACGCGGGATGACCAACAAGGGCATGCCGACCGAAGCGCTGATGACGCTGATGATGCTCTCGGCATGCCTCCGCCCCTGCGAGGCGCGCAACCTTCCCGCCAAGGAGGGGATGCCGTCGTGCCCTCCACGGTCCTGGACGCTGGCGCTGTACCTGCACCCAGAGGAGCGCGGGTTTCATGCCCATCTTGTTGAACCACCTGCTCCACGGCTTCCGCGGGCTGGAGATCGCCAGGCTGGCGCTCGCCAGAGTCAGGCCGCCACGGCAAGTTCAGCATCCAGAATTTCAATGTGGGGTTCAAGCTAGCGCAGCACGGGCTCAACCTGTCCGCGATGCACTTGCCCTGCCAGTTACGACACAGACGACCCCCGGCAGACAGGCGGGACAATCTCCCCCCCTCACCGAGGTGAAGCGAAGAGGCAGGTGGGCCAGCGATTTTTATCTCTTCGCCGGTGCGAAGCAGCCGCACGCCTACGACGCGAGGAGGCTCGGCTGTCCAGTCTCCTCCGAGACCTGTGCCTGTCCGCCATCCCCTCCTTGCCGACCAACCGTGGGACATCGTTGAGCCTGTACCTGGAGCTCCTCGAACAAGGAAATTCGTGGTGGAGATCTTCTCAGGCTCTAAGCACCTATCGGATGCTGCGACTCACTGTGGTTGCAGATGTTTCACCGGTGACATCTGTGACTCGCCCAATCAGAACGTCATACGCATCACAGCACTCGACGACATCAAAGCACTCATCGCTCATCCCGATTGCAAGCTCGTCTGGATGGGGACCCCTCGTGTGTCTTGGTCGAGAGCAAGGCGGGGGGGACGGTCTGGTCCCCCGCCCCTCAGGGACTCTAGCGAGAGCCTGCACGGACTTAACAGGCTCAGTTTCTCGGATGCTCAAAAGGTCAAGGTCGGCAACCAACTGATGATACTATCCGCTAGACTAGCTTATTGCGCTGCCGCATGCCGTCGTTAACGCATCATGGCGAATCCGGCAAGCTCAAGGATACGGCTGACTTCTGAGGTCAAGCGACTGGAGGTCATAGGCTTTGAAGAATACCAGTGTAGCTTTTGTGGGTACGGTACCCCCTGGCAGAAGCACACATGTCTTTTTGCCTGTGCGGCCCCGGGGCTAATTGAGCTCCGCAAGTGTCGGATGAAAGCTGGACGGTGCGGTGTTTCAGATAAAGTGCACGAACAACTTGTGGGCAAGAATCCACAGGGCGAACTCCTAACGAGGATCGCTCAGCCGTATCCCTCGCTCTTCTGCTCGCATGTTTGTCAGATGTTGCGTCTCAGCAGGTAGCCGGACGAGAGAGCGTGATCCACCGCCGCTTCACCACCACTGTCCCCACTGGTTCCACCACCGCCCCTACTGTCCCCACCAGTGCCACCACCACTGTCGCACTGTCCCCCACTGTCCCCACCACTGTTCCCACCACGGTTCCACTTTCCCAACTTTCTCCACGACTATCCCCACTGTCCCCACTGTCCCACTGACTCCTCCGCTGTCCCACTGAGCTGTCCCACTGTTCCCACCACTGTCCCCACTGTCCCCACCACTGTCCCCACTGTACCTCTGTCCCATTGTCCCACCGCCGTCCTCGCCACCGCCTTCACCACTGTCCCCACCACCACTGTACCCTCCACTGTCCTACTGTTTCCACCACATTCCCACTGTCCCCACACCACTGTCCCCACCACCACCGTCCCCACCACTGTCCCACTGTCCCCACTGTTCCCACCATTGTCCTCACCATTGTCCCCACCACTACCGTTCCCACCACTGTCCCACTGTCCCCACCACTGTCCCGCTGTCCCCTCACCACTGTCCCCACCACCACCGTCCCCACCACTGTCCGCACCCCCCCTCGGTTTTCGAGGGGGGGGGGGGTTCGAACCGGTAGTGACCCCCCCCGGTTTTCGAGTTCGAGGGGGGGGGGGGGTTCGAACCGGTAGTGACCCCCCCCTTTTCATGATGAGCGGGGGGGGGGGGGGAGTGGTTCGAACCGGTAGTGAACACCCCCCGGTTTTCCGGAAGGGGGGGGGGGGGGAGGGTTCGAACCGGTAGTGACCCCCCCCGGTTTTCCGCCAGCAGCGGTAGAACACGCTCTTTCTGATATCACATGCTCGCCTAACATGTGATATTAGCCGTGCTTCACACGTCCAGCTCCAATGTGTGGGGGTTGGGGGCATTAAGCTTTGGCACTGTGCCCGCTGCTGCACGCTCGTGGCCTCGCGAATTGCTCACGTGCCAGTGCTAACGGATATCAGATTCTGGGGCTCGTGGCCTCACCTCGGCTGGCGTTTGTAAAGGCCCGTACAGAAACACACACACACACACACACATCTATATATATGTGTGTATATATTATCAGATATACACATATATAGACACACACACACATCTATATATATGTATATATATATATATATGCGCAAACACAAAAATGAGGGGGGGTCGAGGCCCCCCCCCCCACGTACGATTTTTACCGTTACCGAGGAGCACGGGGAACGACCGTTCCGCCTGCAGAAAAACAAACAAAAACTTCCCGGCCCAGGGCCTGGCACAGGCCCCTGGAAGCCGACACTGGCGAAAGAACTTCCGACGTGAAGTTATTCACGACGCCAGGCCTGGCCTGGCCTGGCCTGGCCTCTTCCTCCTCCTCCTCCTCCTCCTCCTCCTCCTCCTCCTCCTCCTCCTCCTCCTCCTCCCCCTCCTCCTCCTCCCCCTCCTCCTGCTCCTCCTCCTCCTCCCCCCTCCGCGCCACCCAAAAGCCGCGCACCAGGCCGAGCCGGCGAAGGGCGGCTCTTACACGCAGCCGCGAACGATGCCCCGCCTGAGCCTTCTTCCCGGCGAAGTTGCCCAGCAGGGAGCCCGCGCCTGCGGCCGCCGCCCCGACCATGTGCGACTTGTTGCCGCAGCTGATCACGCAGTTCTTCACGCCCATGCACGCGGGGGGGGCCTCGAGTCGACGTCGACGACGATTATCCAGACGACGTCCGTCGCTACGACTTTCGCGATGCGTCCGGGCCGCTCGACCACTTCCCGGCCAGGTAGCGTTTTTGGTCCTCCCGAGCCGATTTCTGACGGCCCCGAAACCAGATACAGGTCTCCAGAGGATAAACATGGCGACACACTGGCCGCCTCGACTTTTCGAGGCGCCAGATGTCTGGGCACCAGGAAGCTGGAAACACGTTTGCTCGGCAGCGTCGCGCGCGGCGTCGACGCGGTCTCCAGCGGCTGGCTGACCGCAGACAACGTGGGGGGGCTGACAAGGGGAATCAGCAAGAAAAGCAAAAAAAAGAAAGCTGGACCACACATGCTCAAACACACACGCACATGGCTGATTGGGCTCACGTGTGGAAAGATACGGGTGCAGGCGCGGGATAGTCCTGCGGAGGGCCAGCAGGCTCAGTTTCACTAGGGCCGTCCACTTCAGGTGTATCCAGCTTGCTGGTCGACGGTGTCTCCTCGCTCCTTGCTTTTTGGCCGTCGGGGACCCTGCTCGTGGCCATAGCTGACTGCGTGTCTGACCCCCCAGAAGGGGTCCCAGGGGTTGCTTTGAGCGGATGCTCTTCCGATCGCCGCGAAGAGATGTTCCCGAAGATCTCCAGCCTTTGTTGCGCCCAGAGGCAGCATCCGGGTCCTAGACCCTAGACAGCACCGCTCAGGATGAAAAGCCAGCCCCGAGGCAGAGGCCGACAGAGAACCAACCATGCACACACCTTGGCGCTTCGGCAGTCCGTGCACGGTCTCTCCCCGCTGCCACCGAGCACCACACACCCCAGACCCTGGTGCGTTTCGCACACTGGGACGGGGTGTGCGGATGTCCTTCGAGGGGGTCCGGCTCGGAGAAACCGCGCGCGGGCGTCAAAAGCTGTTGCGCAGCGAGGCGTTCTGGCTCTCTCGCCCTGCATCTCATGATGCGGTCTCGGCAACCATGGAGTCCGAGCCGGCAACAGGCGGGTCCCAAGAGGTCTCTGGAGGCCAGCGCGTGGTCCCCGCGGGAGAGCCATGAGGCCTCGCGGGGGCCTCTGGAGGCCTCAGAGAGGCCCGAGAAGTGCCAGAAGCTCCAAGCCCCGGTCCTCGGACTTCGGATCGCGGGCGGGAGGCGCCTTGCACTTCTTGATGCACATTCGGAACATGACCTGTCCGCCGATGCCTGCGCCCGCCGCGGCCCCGAGGCCAGCGGTCCCTGACGGCCCCAGCTTGGCCAAGGGGTTGAAGAAGGCCGTCCTTGGAGGCCTCCCAGAAGGGATCCGAGCAGAGACGGGGTCGGAGGATCGCGCCACATCGCCGATACATCGCCGAACGTCAGCGATGCAATCGCGACGTCGGCGATGCATCGGTGCCATCTGCGTGCAGAAATTCGGTCTCCACGTCGAGCTGCATCGCCGATAATTAACATCGGCGACGCGGCGCGATCCTCCGATGCCGCCGCTGCTCGGACCCCATGCTCGGAGGCCCGGAGTCCTCGAGCAATGGGCGGGCGAGTGCCGTGGCTGCAGGCCGGCGATGCCGGCGTCAGGGGCGTAAACTGCGGCCGCTGGAGCCTGGGGGGCAAACGTCCGCCGCCTCGGAAAACATATCGGGTCGACCGGTTTGTCGCCACCTCTGGACCCCAGAAGCCGGCTTGGAGCCAGGGCCCAGGATGACCCAGGGCAGGCACAGTGGAGGTGTCGAGGTGCATGTCTTCGGAGAGTTGAAGGTCTGGTTTTTGGGTGCGCTTTTGTCCCTTCATCGATGCCCTCGGAAGCCTCTGCGGGAAGCTCTGGAGACCCCCAGGGAGGGGGATCTGTCTTCGCAGACCTCGACCAGATTACGCGCCCTGGGATATTTCCTTCCCACATGTCTCCGGCAGCTGGGCTTTTTCGAGCCGATGGCCCCTGCAGCACCCGACCCTTAGCCTCGAGCAAAATTCTCACTTCAAGTTGTCTATTGATGGCCCGAAGGGCAGGATCCGTCCCCCAGGACGCTGTGAAACAAGCGCGCTATGTCCGGGTCGCCAAAACTCTGGACCGTGGGCACCCAGATGCCACCAAGTGCACCTCCAGGTGCCAGGTGCCCGAACTAGGAGCACGAGAAACAACTGCCGTCCCAGCCCTTGTTCCAGAACGCCCAGTGAGCTTCCCGGGGCCTCCTCGGGACGTCGTGGTGCCTGTTCAACACGTTGCCCCTCTAGAGCTCTCCACAGCTTCCCCATAGGGCTGATTTATCGCTTTCCTGTGCCCAGGAGCTGCCCCTGCAGCCCGAGATTCAAGAACAAGACGCCTGCCGCTTCAAACCACACAAGTCGTCGGAGGTCTTTGGGGTGTGGGTCGCATGCCGCCGCTGACTGGGCAAATTGCGAAACAGAAAACCGGAGGGGCGAACCAAGAAATTCTGAAGACGACTCTGGAAATGCCGAACACGAACAAACAAATGCGGCAATGGGGGAACACACCACATCAACGCAGAACGGGCCAGAGAAATTCTTGACGCTTCGCGTATCCCCACCAGCCCATCCTACACCAGGCACTCGAACGAAGAGCGCCGATGATCGGCAGCTGTTCTCCTCCCCTCTTCCTCCTTCTCCTCCGCCTTTTCCTCCTCCTCCTCTCCTCCTCCTCCTCCTCCTCCTCCTCCTCCTCCTCCTCCTCCTCCTCCTCCTCCTCCTCCTCCTCCTCCTCCTCCTCCTCCTCCTCCTCCTCCGCCTCTTCCTTCTCCCTGGTGGCGTATTGGAAGTGTCTTCGAACGTTTTGGTGGTCTCTTGGGCCTTGCGGGCGGGCGGGCGGCGCTCCGCCCGCCCGCGCGCAGGGCCCAAGAGGGGGTCCAAGACGTCTCTCGGAGCCATCTTGGAGGAGATCGATCAAGGGGGGTTCCTAAATCCCACCAGCCCTCTGGGCGTCGGTGGTTTAGAACGTTTCCTCTTCCACCCCTCCTTCTTCCCCTTCGGGGAGGGGTTTACCCCTTCCCCTACCCCCTCCCCACTGACCTGGACAGGGGGGGTCGCGATCGGTCAGAGCGTCCAAGGTCGACCCCTGGGAGGGCTAAAATTCGACACCCCTCACGAGAATCGTGGCTCCTGAGGGGGGGGCTGAAATTTAAGAACCCCCCTTCGTTGATCGATCTCCTCCAAGATGGCTCCGAGAGACGTGTTGGACCCCCTCTTGGGCCCTGCGCGCGGGCGGGCGGAGCGCCGCCCGCCCGCCCGCAAGGCCCAAGAGCCCACCAAAACGTTCGAAGACACTTCCAATACGCCACCAGGGAGGAGGAAGAGGCGGAGGAGGCGGAGGAGGAGGAGGAGGAGGAGGAGGAGGAGGAGGAGGAGGGAGGAGGAGGAGAGGAGGAGGAGAAGGCGGAGGAGAAGGAGGAAGAGGGGAGGAGAACAGCTGCCGATCATCGGCGCTCTTCGTTCGAGTGCCTGGTGTAGGATGGGCTGGTGGGGATATTTTTTTACAGCCGCAGGCGGAAGCGCCGGCGGCGGCAGGTCACGGTCGGGCTGCGGCCGTAACGAATTAGCCGGGCGCGCGCGCGGGCCGCGGATCAGGCGGCGGTGCAAGCTGCAGCCCAGGGAGTCTGAGGGGAGACTGGCACCCAGGGAGCAGGAATTACGCTGCCAAAATGGCGCGATGCACGCCCCCAGTCAAGGGTCGTGCCCGGTCCGACGACCACAGGGCAGTGGGGATCTCCGTGCAAGAAAAGTGTCAGAGAGTCCAGGGTGTCTGCCGGGTAGGGGCGAAACCGTAGGCGAGAGAGCTGACGCAGGCATCCTGCAGGAAGGGAGGGACTCCGACGGCGCCAGCGAACCGTCGCAGCTTCAGAGTACGCACCAACGCGGCTGTAAAGCTGGTGGGGATACTTTATGTTTTACAGCCGCAGGCGGAAGCGCCGGCGGCGAGCAGTCACGGTCGGGCTGCGGCCGCGACTAAATTCCCGGGCGCGCGCGGGAGCCGCGGATCAGGCGGCGAAGCAGCGGCAACCCAGGGCGTCTGAGAGGCCAGGCGGTCGTGCAATCCCAGGGAGTCTGGAAGATCAGTCACCTGAGGCGGTCGTGCAAGCTGCAACCCAGGGAGTCTGAGAGGTCAGCCACCCGGGCGAGCCAGCTGGTGGGGATACGCGAAGCGTCAAGAATTTCAGCCCCCCCCTCAGGAGCCACGATCCTCGTGAGGGGTGTCGAATTTTAGCCCTCCCAGGGGTCGACCTTGGACGCTCTGACCGATCGCGGCCCCCCCTGTCCAGGTCAGTGGGGAGGGGGTAGGGGGAGGGGTAAACCCCTCCCCGAAGGGGAAGAAGGAGGGGTGGAAGAGGAAACGCTCTAAACCACCGACGCCCAGAGGGCTGGTGGGATTTCCCAGTCCGTTTCTGGATTCCTGGGTTTGTTTCATAATCTCCTGGTTCGCCGCTTCTGGAAGAAAGACACGTGCCATGACAAGCATGAACTTTCGGAGGTCCGCGCGCGTTTCTCGGGTTTGCTCTGGGCCCCCATCCCCTGGCGCGTGAAGCGCGCCAGGGGTGGCGCCGGAGGCGCCGCCACGGGGTATCAGAACCGATCCATGAAATCATCACAGACCTTCGAAACTTATCTTTACTTTTCCCCGGCGCAGCCCCAAACTCCCGCGGCCACAGATCGTCCTGCTCTTCCCCCAGGGGGACGTTTCACCCCTCATGGTCTCTGGGGCCAGACAGCGCCCCTCCCCCCCGAACCCAAAACGAGAGAAGATCAGGCTGGGATTGAAAAATACCACCCTTGCGGCTGAAGACCGACAAATCTTTACACAATTCACGATGTGGGGCCACGATGGGAGGCCGCCACGATGGGCACCCGATGTCGAGGTCCCGGGCTCCCCCTGGGCGTGAGAAGAAGTGTATCCTGTATTGAGAACCCCTACAAGCAAGCTGATCAGGGACAAAACAATCCGCAGGGGACCCTAGGCTGCATTTTCCCCGCCGATCCTTCCTGAGGACATCGCTTCATGCCTGATGGTCCCGGGGCCGGAAGGCGCCCCCCCCGAGGAGGCAACGAGAAGAGCAGGCTGGGATTTCAGGGCCACGTCAACGGGGACTTTGACAGACGAGGACCTTGGCGCGCCCAATAAAACTGAAGCCGAAGGGTCGAGACTTTCCTCGTTCTTCGTTCTCCCCCAACGGAAATGGCAAAACTCTGGTTTGCAATGTCCAGCTTCAGGGGCCCCGGGGATGCAACAGAAAGGAATCCACTGGATGCCTTGGTCCGCCTTTTCCCCGCTGCTGGCCTCTGCCTCCCGCAAGGCCAGCTGCAGAGGCATCCGGAGCGTCAGTGCCGAGGCGGGACGGCGGCGGCGCGAGGTCCTGGCGCGCAGCCAGCCTGCCGCCCTCAGTTGGCGGTGTAAGGAGAAGGGGAGCGGGGGCGCGCAGGCCGCGTTTCAATCGGGGCCGCGTAAGCCAGGATGCCTGGAGCCATGGTGGCTGCGGAATGGGTTCGCGTGTCGCTAGAAGTGCTCCTGGTCCAAGGGGTCCCCAGCTTTTCGAGCAATTTTGGACCCCCTGGGGCCCTCTGGGCCTCGTGAGTAGTGTTCTGGAGGCCATTTGCGCCTCCCTGGGAAAGCTGGGGCCACCTTGGGCCAGAGACACTTCTGGTTGAGGCGCCATTCACACGGGTGCGCGATCGAATAGATGAGTTCCGCGCGGGGCACCCTCGCAAGGCCGCCCAATATCAATAATTACGGGCTCGCGGCCGAGGAGTCTGGACAGCGAGGCCGTGGATATGTATATATGTGTTCCCCGCCCACTAAGGAAGAGGCGGTGCAGGGCCAAGAACTCAAGCCAGGTCCGGAGCGCATGGAAGGTGAATTTGGGCAGATGCAGGGACCGAAAGGAAGGAGGAAGAGGAGAGGGTGGTGAGGAGGCGCAGACGGAGGCGTTGCGGCGGTCATCCACGTCCTGATCCAGGTCGACCACAGCAGGACAAACAATCAGAACTAAGGACTCACCGGCAGCCACACGGCGCCTGCAGGCCGCGCTTGACGGCACGCAGAGGTTCCATGCCACCCTGCGATTGGTCGGTGTGTGGGAGTGGTGCGTTCCCTCTGTTCTGCCAGAAGGGATAACGACGGCCGCGTACGGCGCGAGATGAGAGCTCGTCATGAAGGACTTGACCCGCGGGGTCAGGTTTGCTAACTACTGGTGGGGAGTCCTGGGCCCGCTGCACTGTGACGTTCCAGTCGCTATAGCAGGTGGAGGGATGCGGCGCTACGTGCCCAAGGGCCGATGGGGAATGGCACGTTCCAATGGATGGACGCTTTCCAAGACAAACATATCAAAGTGTTGCCAGTGAGGCATAAGCCGGTGGCGGCACGGGAGCACCTCCCACACGCCCACCCGCCTCACTGGATACCACGCCGCCAAATGGACAGGTGGTTCCAGCTTGGGACAGGATATATCCACGAAGCGGTTCTCATGTAGGAGGCTGAGCAGGACGCTCACACATCAGACCCTAGCACTAGTCAGCTTGTGCACGTGGATCGGAAACCCACCTGCGAATACAACACCCCGCCCTCGCAGTCTCGCTCGATCCAACGATGGCGTGCCTGCAGCGGCGCCAGAAGGTACACGACAAGCGTGACTGGCAACCTCCACAGCACGGACTCTTGGCGGCACTGGTGCTCGAAATGGGAGGCCGCCCCTCCGACACGGATCATGCATTCGTGCCGCCATGGCCGCGACGATGCCGACCGGGCCGAGGTCCTCTGGACGCTCTGGAGGCAGATCAGCTGGCGCAGTCAGACGGGCAACGCCGGGATGCTGCTCAGCGCTCTGGCTGAGCGGGGGTGCTGAGCAGGGAACCGTTCGGCCTCTGGCTCAAACCATTGCTGCAAGCACTGCGAGCAGGGCCGCAGCAGCATTACCACCACCACGTCCACCACTGCTTGACAATTCAATTGCCCTACCGCCATCACCACTACCATGTCCACCCTCATATCCACATTTACGGGCGCCAGCCCTAACACACCTGCTTCCAACTGTGTGACCACTGCCGCTGCGACGACCGCTGCCCAACGTCGACGGAATTGGATCCGAAGCGAATACCACACGCGCGTTCACGACAACGACCGGGGCCCTGTCCACCACGGGGTCTGACGACGCGACGACCGCCCCGCAACGCCCCCAACCCTGTCCTCCTCCTGTCGCGCCATCCCTGCATGCCGCTCTCTCCCTCTGCTCCCACAAGTTGCACCGTGCTCTCGGCGGGCGCGGACTTACCGCACATGCCTAGCCACCGTGGTCATTCGTCCAAAAGAAGCGCGGATGCAGGCGCCGCGGAGGAAGAGCTGGAGGAGGCACAACGTTGCACAAAAGGATAGGGAGAACGGACGAGGGAGGAGTAGGAGAGTGGAGGAGAAAGAGGAGGACACGAGGAGAACGAGGGAGAAGGAAAGAGTAGGAAGAGGGAGTTGGATGTATCCAGCGGCCTCTGGAAGTCCCCGGAAGACTCCTAGGGCCTCTGTTAACCGATGCAGGCCCGACAAATAACACGTAAACGTCCAAACACAACGATCCTCAAACCTCGAACTCCAGACATCCGATGCTAGGTCTTCCCAGAAACATCCAGAAACATCTATCATCAATGAAATGTTCAGTTGTAAGTCTGAGACTGAGACGAGGAACGGGAAGCCAATACTATTACTTGGCGTCGGGCTATAAAACGGCGCGTCGCACGAGAGCGAGAAGACACAACAAGACCACACTGCTCACCAAAAGAACGCCGAAGACCGCGCGTCCTCAGAACCTCTCGGAGACGGGGCAGTGCCAACCCAAGAAATCCGCACGGACCTCCGAACGTTTATGTTTTTGTCGGCGCTCGGTCAGCGGCGCCGCGACTGCGGGCGCCCCTGCTCGCCAGGAGGTGGAGGCGCGCGGAGTGTACGGTCCCACGCCGTGATTCTTTTGCGACGCGGACCTCTCGAAGCCTCGACCTCTTCCGCGGGATGGCCCAGAGCCTTGTCCTGTCCAGAACAATTTGTTTGACGGCCCTGGGGCATGTAGTGGCCCCCAGGAGCAGGAAAGTGCCAGACACCTGACGTCATGAGTTTTTGTTTCACGGCGCGGCGGCGCTCGGGGGGCTGAGACTCGGCCCCCGGACCTGTTCCAAGGTGGGTCCCCACCGAAATTCCGAGGCGCCGCGGCGACGAGGAGCCGACTCCGAGGCCGAAACAAGTGCGAAGCGCACGAACATAAAAAGTCGATCCTCGCAGTCCGACCCTCGAGGCTCGATCCTCGAAGCTCCATCTGGGAGGCTCGAGGCCTCGAGGGGGGAGGGTGCCGACCGCCTGTCTGTGCGCCAGAGCAGCGGCCGGCGGCGGGGCGGCTGCCGCTGCTGCCGCCGCCGCCTCGGGCCCCGGCGGTCCTCTCGGGGCGGCGGGGGGCGCGGCCCGAGCAGCCACCGAAGAGCCGCTCGGGCCAATCGTCGGTCGCCGGTCGTCCGCCGTCGTCGCGGGCGTCGTCGTCGTCGTCGTCGTCGTCGTCGTCGTCGTCGTCGTCGTCGTCGTCATCCGTCACCTGTCGTCGTTGTCGTCGTCGCCCATCCTCGTTGGGGGAGGATTTGTGTTTTGGGGCGTTTGTTGCCTTTTCGGGCCTCCTGACGCTTCGCCGAGGCCACCGCCAGATTCGCCTTGGAATCCTGGCCAGGGAAGCACCCCTGGACAGGTCCAGGGGTACGAAGAGATCGAGGAGGAGAAATACGGAGCCCCCCGCAGATGTGGATAAGAGTGAGGGGGTGGTGGGGACGTCGGCAGTTTGCGAGACTCTGGAGAAGCCCGCCGCAGGCGCCAAAATTTCACAAATAATACAACGAGCCCGCCGCAGGCGCCTTTTTTTTCGTTAAACCAATGTGGGTCGGTCGCGGGTGGGTCGCGGGTGGGTTGCAAATGGGTCGCGGGTGGGTCGCCGGTGGGTCACGGGTGGGTCACTGTTGGGTCGCGGGTGTAGAGGGCAGAAAATCCACCCCACAATAAACACCCCGACAAGCGAAGCCGTTGAGTAAACGCACGCATGGAATGAATCGAACAGTGCCCCAAGGTCGTTTAGTAAACATCAATTGTCGGGTCCGGGTGGTTTTTCCTCCCTTGAGGGTGGGTCGCGGGGTGGGTCGCGGGTGGGTCGCGGGATGGATCGCGGGTGGGTCGCGGAAGGGTCGCGGATGGGTGCGAGGTGGGTCGCGGGTGGGTCGCGAGGTGGGTCGCGGATGGGTCGCGGGCGGGTCGCGGGTGGGTCGCGGGTGGGTCGCGGGTTGGGTCGCGGGTGGGTCGCGGGTGGGTCGCGGGTTGGGTGGCGGGGTGGGTGGCGGGGTGGGTCGCGGGGTGGGTCGCGGGGTGGGTCGCGGGGTGGGTCGCGGGGTGGGTCGCGGGTGGGACGACGACAACAAACAACAACAGCAACAGCAACAGCAACAGCAACAGCAACAGCAACAGCAACAGCAACAGCAACAGCAACAGCAACAACAACAACAACAACAACGACGCAACAAGCAGAATTCTCACCACGAATTCCCTATTCAGCCACGCACCCAGGGACAATGAATGACCGTTCGGTCCCCTCACTCTGATTACCCAGACCCCAGAAATGTCTTGAGAAAATCCATACGGCTGATTTTCTGAGGGCCAAAAACTCTGTGGCCCAGGGCCGCTGAGAAAAATATCCAGGACGAACGTCTGGTCCTGGGGGCGGGGTCGAGAGCGACAAGGCCCGCGGATTGAACAAATCACGACGTCGGAGGTCCGAGTACAATGAGGGATGGGATGAAGACGATGGGAAACAGGGTGTAGACAGGTCGTGCGACTAGATAGTATCATCAGCAATCCCTTGAGCTCGGATGGGGGGAGGGATGAAGGGGGAGGGGTGCAAGCGGCAAACTTAGCTGCCATCCCGTCCACAGTTTTGGACCCCCCGAGGATTTAGCTGTACTGATGCAACAGCTCCCCCATACATAGAACTAGAACCACGCGCGCGCTTCGCGCGCGCTTAGGTTCTGTCGAGTCACAGACCCAGGAATCGTTGTGAGAAGAAATTGGTGACGCGAAGCGTCGTGGGGGCGTCCTTGGACGTCTGGGGTCTCCTGGGGCCTCTTGAGGGGCCTCCTGGGGGCCTCCTGGCGGCCTCTTGGGGCGGAAGGCTCGAGCTTGCGGTTCGTGGTCCCCCTCTGGGCCCCCTCTTGGGCCCGTCTTGGGGCCCTCTTGGGCCATCTTGGGCGCCTCTTGGGCCGTCTTGGGGCCCTCTTGGGCTGTCCTGGGGCCCTCTTGGAAGCTTCTTGGGCCGTCTTGGGGCGGTCTTGGGCGCCTCTTGGGCCGTCCTGTAACGTCGGAAAGCCCAAAAGGCGACTTTGTTGAAAATGTACGTTTTACGAAGGGAATGGGTCAATTTGTGCGTCTAGGGGCCCTCTTGGGACGCATGTTGGAGGCTTCTTGGGGCGTCT